GGCTTTCTGGATCGTAATAGATCTGGCTTAGATATTTCTCCGCCATCGATGTCTGAGGCTTGAATTACAATTTTTCCACCACAGCAAGCAGAAATACAGCGTACTTTTCGAAAAATGTTTCGAAGAGAGATTTGTGGTAAACCTTTACAGCAAGGCATCCTTACTCTTCAGAGGTTTGAACAAAATGAAACATCCAGTAATTATAGACTGATATATAAAGCTATCAGTGTGAGTGAGAGTGTTATTAAAATTGGACGTTTACTTCGTTTATGTTTGGGAATAGTAAAAATTCGACATGCCTCGATGGTTTTTTGTACATTGTGACGAATAGATTCCTCGCTATCATTTTGTACACATACCAAAGCTAAATAGGCAATGATACAACCAAAGTTTGTTACCTTGATCTCTCTGTAGATTTGGTCAAGGTTTAAATCACGAACATTTACTGCACGATATAGATCTCGATGGCGGTCGAGAATTGTATTTATATGAAACGATAAAGTTTGCTTATCAATATCAATTTCATTTCGTTTCAACTCATCAAAAATTATATCTATGTTATCCATGATACTCTCACCACAACGATTGAACAACAAATGAGACACACAGTGTTTATTTCAGTAAATATATGCAAATTTACATTAATTAACTAGCAACGTATTATTATTACAAGAGGTCTATTTTATCAAGTTCACTTGTTAAACCAAATCTACGAAATTCATCATAGGCCTCCTTAGTGTTAGATTTAGAACTATTAAATGTCTCTCCTGTTTTTTCAATCATGTACTGGTATTGTAGTGGATTACTGAAGAGCACGATGCCAGTGTTGGTCACCCGAGGGCCTTGTTGCTTCCATTCGAAGAAACCACAAGATTCGTCCTTCGGACAGCAGTAAAACAGACGGTTTTGATTCGGACCATCTTTCTTGACTTTTCGTTCACAGCACACCATTCCATGTTGACATAACGGTCTTGGACCTTCGAACACGTCTCCCCATTGCCAGAACCTGCAGGGATCCTTTCGCTCAGAACATACGAAGAAGGGTCGTCCATAACTATCTTTCATTGTGTCTTTGACCACACATAACTTGGCAAATTTCTGATGTGTAGGACACACGGGATGTATAGAACCACTTGCACGAAACGCAGCTACAGCTCTCGTATACATATAACAATTTTCGTCTGGGCAAAAGAATTCACAGCTTGGCTTTTCCCCACAAAACCAAAATGTACCATTGTTTGTAGTTGTAGAAGTAGCAGCTTTTCCGTGTAGACACTCCATGACTGATGTAGAACTAATGCAAAACTATGCCTATTACAAGACGCTTGTCGATTTTATACAGACGCTTGTTAAATCAAACAACCAATCATAGTAAGCCAACATTAATCCCTCCATTGTATCATACATGAGGAGGGACGCTAAAAAATGCGTAGTCAACAAATTTTGTCCAATTTCGCCCGGACAGGCCCGCGTGACGTCATAGCATATAATTATGACGTATGTTAATGATGATGCGCCGCCCCGCGCCGCCCCACGCCACCGCCGCACTCCACCGCCGCAAAAATAAGGCTGGAATACTAATTACCCTCCACACTCCACCGCCGCACTCCACCGCCGCAAAAATAAGGCTGGAATACTAATTACCCTCCACACTCCACCGCCGCACTCCACCGCCGCAAAAATCCGGGTCGATCGGCCTCTATATTACTACTGCCCCTATATGGATACCGGCTTAACAGCTGAATGGGCTACCCTGCTAAAATAAAGTCACAACAACAACAACAACAGCAACTCGGAACCCAATAATCCTACGTCAATTATCCTACGTCATTCGTGTTACATTTTACATCTTTATACACACCCAATGACATAAAGGATTTTGCTTTGCAAATCCTTAAAAATACAGTATCTTGTCTAGATATAGCTCGTCTCGACTTTCCAGAGATTCCCCTACAGTTCATCGGCGGAGGTTTAATTGTTGCGAAAAAGATATCGAACAGCATTAGGAAGTTAACTAGAAAATACATGCATGCAGGAACCCTTGCCTTGCTGACAAAACCATTGTATTTTCCGAACATGAAGTATCTAAAGTAGTTGTCATGGTAACACGATAATATGTTTTTAAGAACATTCTTACAAATGAAAATCGCCAAAAAATATCACTTTTAATTACAAAATTATCAATTTCCCAACATATATATGTTACGTATGTAATTATACGTAATACAAGCTTCAATTTAAGGTAAAATTCAACCACAAACAATTCACAAAACGTTCCAAAGTGTTCTTTATAAAACTAAACTGCCTTTAGCAACCTTTAGCTATTAAATGGCTTTATCAATAAACTTTGAGTTTGCAATAAAATTATTTCAAATTCTCGCTTGCAAATAACTTTGCTTATTTTTTATTTAAAAAATTCAATATAATAAAAAAGGGAATCAATATTAAAGATACATTAAAATTATATGCTGTCTTGTTTAGTTGTTTCATATACGCAAAAGCCGTCGGGTTTTAAAGCCATTATATTATAAAATCAATATTTAAAACATACTTACCTTCGTTAACGTCGGCTCCCTTCTTTTAGCCGATTCTTTCGCCTTTTCTTTCTTGAAATTTATAAAATCTTGCAGAAATATGAGCAAAAATGAAATATACTTGCAAGAAATTTATCAATCATCAAATCAAGAAATGTTTGCTATTTCGCTGTCGTCATGCAGTCGTTTAATGCAAACTTTAAATTGGACCAATCAGTGTCCGTTATTCATGACAGTCCGCCATATTTTTGAGATCAGTGAGGATGACCACCCATCGTTGGTGACCGACGCCCGCGCTCATTGATGAACTTTAGACTTCGCTAATGCTTTCGTTTCCCCGGGTGTAAATAGCCGGGGGGGATTAGTACCCTCGCACGGCGCTTCGCGCCGTTGGCTCGGGGAAAATTATCAGGCTCAATAAAAAACTCCCTCCCCCCATCCCATTAAATAGTCCGTCCCTAATCCCCGAGCCGGCGGCGCGAAGCGCCGTGCGAGGGTACTAATTCCCCCCCCGGCTATTTACACCCGGGGAAACGAAAGCATTAGCGGAGTCTAAAGTTCATCAAATATCGCGGGCGTGGGTCACCAACGATGGGTGGTCATCCTCACTGACCTCAAAAATATGGCGGACTGTCATGAATAGCGGACACTGATTGGTCCAATTTAAAGTTTGCATAAACGACTGCATCACGTCAGCGAAATAGCAAACATTTCTTGACGATTCACGATTGATAAATTTCTTGCGAATATATTTCATTTTTACTCGCATTTTTGCAATATTTTGTAAATTTCAAAAGCACTCGGAGAAAGAAACTGCGAAAGAATCGGCTAAAAGAAGGGAGCCGACGTTAACGAAGGTAAGTTTGTTTTAAATATTGATTTTATAATGGCTTTAAAACCCGACGGCCTTTGCGTATATGAAACAACTAAACAAGACAGCATATAATTTCAGTGTATCTTTAATATTGATTCCCTTTTGTATTATATTGAATTTTTTAAATGAAAAAGAAAGCAAAGTTATTTGCAAGCGAGAATTTGAAATCATTTTATTGCAAACTCAAAGTTTATCGATAAACCATAATAATAATTAAAGGTAGTTAAGTTAAAGAGCACTTTAAAACGTTTTGCGAAGCGTTTGTGGTTGAATTTTACCTTAAATTGAGGCTTATATTACGTATAATAACATACCTAAGATATATATGTTGGGAAATTAATGATTTTGTAATTAAAAGTGATATTTTTAGGTGATTTTTCATTTGTAAGAATATTCCTAAAAAATTATCGTGTTACCATGACAACTATTTTAGAACTTCATGTTCGGAACATACAATGGTTTTGTCAGCAAGGCGAGGGTTTCTGCACGCATGTATTTTCTAGTAACTTCTTATTTTGTTTCATAAATAGTTCTTTAATATTCGAAACAAATTCCATATCTGCTTCGTCTGCCATCGCCATGTTTACTCGTCCCAATCTACATGCTGCACGGCATTGCCGCCCCTCCTGGCAAAATAATAAGCAAGCGAGAAAAATTAAGGAGAAAATAAGAGGGTAGGAACATTGTGGGCGTTTCGTGGGCGTGTCATCGTTCTGGGCGAATCGGCTTTCGCAATCTTGTATCACATGACTAATTCAAATTGTCATAGGCGGGAAGCAGCATTACGTCATCCCTACGTCAAATAAAACGTTATAAAACGCGTCGAGGATACGTTTGTGCCATATATGGAAGTTATGGATAGGTTTGTGCCATTATGGAAGTGTCACTGCATCCAGCTTATGACAACGATGTTCCTACCCTCTTATTTTCTCCTTAATTTTTCTCGCTTGCTTATTGTTTTGCCAGGAGGGGCGGCAATGCCGTGCAGCATGTAGATTGGGACGAGTAAACATGGCGATGGCAGACGAAGCAGATGTGGAATTTGTTTCGAATATTAAAGAACTATTTATGAAACAAAATAAGAAGTTATGAATATTCTGATCTTTTAAACATAATTATAATACATGAGTAAGTACAATACCATTTCTAACTTTCTATTTAACAACACTACACCTGTCCTATTGCCCGTGGTCAATTTAAAGTTTGCATTATAACGACTGCATGACGACAGCAAAATAGCAAACATTTCTTGATTTGATGATTGATAAATTTCTTGCAAATATATTTCATTTTTGCTCATATTTCTGCAAGATTTTATAAATTTCAAGAAAGAAAAGGCGAAAGAATCGGCTAAAAGAAGGGAGCCAACGTTAACGAAGGTAAGTTTGTTTTAAATATTGATTTTATAATGGCTTTAAAACCCGACGGCTTTTGCGTATATGAAACAACTAAACAAGACAGCATATAATTTCAGTGTATCTTTAATATTGATCCCTTTTTTATTATATTGAATTTTTTAAATAAAAAACAAGCGAAGTTATTTGCAAGCGAGAATTTGAAATCATTTTATTGCAAACTCAAAGTTTATCGATAAAGCCATGTAATAGCTAAAGGTAGTTTAGTTTTATAAAGAACACTTTGGAACGTTTTGTGAATTGTTTGTGGTTGAATTTTACCTTAAATTGAAGCTTGTATTACGTATAATTACATACCTAACATATATATGTTGGGAAATTGATAATTTTGTAATTAAAAGTGATATTTTTAGGCGATTTTCATTTGTAAGAATGTTCTTAAAAAATTATCGTGTTACCATGACAACTACTTTAGATACTTCATGTTCGGAAAATTCAATGGTTTTGTCAGCAAGGCGAGGGTTTCTGCATGCATGTATTTTCTAGTATATAATAGTGAGCTTAAGGTGGCTCCCTACAGTTAGTACAGTTTAAATACGATTTATATAGATCAGACTTCATCCTCGCGACCTGCGCGTGGAATCGTGTTTACTGTTCGGCAAAAATATTGAAACAAGCCGTGGGAAGTTTTTTGGCGTTTTTTATCTACAAAGAAAGCCCCAGTTTTTCATTATAATCCTATTTTTTTTCTGAATTCGAACAGTACGTATGTTATTAACTAGTTTAACCTATCTTTTAGTGTGTTTTTACGTATTTACGTTCAGTATTGTCTTTCATATTGCTCAAAATTTTCAACTTGTTGTTTTGCGAGCTGTCAAACTGAAATGACACTGTCTTCTATTAACTCTTGAACAGTAGTGAACTGTCGCCGAAACTTATATAAGTTCTGTCAATCAATTTAATTTACAGGTATCGTTTTTTCTGCTAAATCAAATAAAACAGTTATGAGTTGTTTTATATGAAAAGTTAAACTTGTAGTTCGATGTTTTGAAAAGTTTTCACACCGATTTTAACAACAAAAACAAATGTAAACTAACACTGGATTTAATACAATGCCTATAATAGTGTTTTTTATTAGTATTTTCAAGATTAATATTTTATTTTCATGTCAAACAAGTCAGAAATATCTGTTTTCTTATGTATTGTAAGCCAAAAAGTTGAAATCACTATATAAATCACACGCTACAATTTACACGCATGCGCAGATCGTGCTCATGTCGAGTCGATTTTTTTTCATGCTGGTCACGCCAATTTTAGCGATGATTTTCTCGTGTTTTCTTCGGTGAATTTTTTTAAACTTTGTATTTTTGTTATACAAGACGAGTGGTACACATATCCAAATTTTAAGAAATTCTACAAATAACTTTTTCTGTAACCGTCATTCACGAATATCTCGAAAACTTATTTATAAATTCCCTTCAAATTTTGATATGTTTTTCCTTTATGGACCATAAATCTTCAAAAAAAATTTCAGAAAAATTCACTGAAGGAAAATATAGATATTGTCAATTTATTGTGAAATTAGACAGTAAAAGTGCAAAAGATTACACGTCTTGGTTGCCATGGCAACACAAACACTGTTTTAATTTGTTCATAAATGGACAGCACACAGCTTCTGAACTTTCCTGGAAATGATCATATTGCCTTGTCTTAAGTGTATCTAATATAAATTCGGTTCAAAGCGAACGATACTCAAAATCAACCTCGTTCCCAGGGCTTTTCCCTTTTTGTCACTGGGAAGGCGGGAAAAGGCCCTGGCACCGGCCGGTCTTCTATGTATTCTGATTGGTCAATGACAAGTACATTTTTATGCAAATAATGCAATCTTGGATTAATTTATTCAAACTTTGGGATAAATTAATATTTCATGCAAGGAGTGTCCATTATTAATACTTTGTCCGTCTAAGAAATATTTTTGGCAAAATGGTTAAATTCGATAAGATTTATACACAATTTGTCGAAGGTTAGTATTATTGTTTGTTTTAAACTGTGAGAGAAGATTAATTGTGTACTAGAACACACTTCTGAGGCTCTGACCGAGTATTTAGGGCAAAATGTGCCTTCATATTTGGATTTTACTACATCCCGGGCGTTCTTTGTCAGTGCCCGCGATCACAATTAGTATTATCAGCGGTATATGATGATAACATCGAGTGTTTCCTGAAATCACAATGTTTGAAAGAAAACATCTTAAAAGCCAAATATAAATTATATAATACTCGATGTGAATTTATAACTTGATTAAACTGTAACAGTTTGTCAGCATGTTAATCTATATTTCAAGATATCAGTTTGCTTCTAGTCAGTTTATTTGATCCAGACATATTGCCTTTTAATTTTTTGACAAAACTGTTTATGTTTTAGCACTAATTTCACAGATCTTATATGAGCTAGTAACATTTATAGCAGCTCAAATAAAAAATAACCAAGTGACTGGACAGACGGGAGTTATTTCGTATTTTGTAGCAATATAAAAACTTTTGTTTGCACTAATCTTCACCAAGTTTGTCGTTAGCTCAAGCGATAAAGGCGCTGCGTACCGAAAGTGAAACGCAGTCGGGGTCGGGATCGATGCCGAACATTTATTATCTGATTTAGCTCTTTTTCTCAATTTTTTGTAATTTTTTCTTCCTTCCTTTTTTAACTCTTAAAAGTTAGGCCGGTTAGTGTTTGGGATCGGTATAAAATCTAAAGTGCTTTAAAAAAGTTTTAATCTTTTTTTATCTGGTTGAAAATGTTTGAATATTGAGTTGCGAACTCAACCGCTGGTAATTCTAATTGTGATCGCGGGCACTGACAAAGAACGCCCGGGATGTAGTAAAATCCTTGACAAACACCGACTTGAAAAAATATCGGAGGTGTGATGATCTATCCCTTGATGCTTTGCGCGCGTGGCAAGAAAACTAGACACCAGTCTGTCAGTCGCGCACATTGCGGTAATTTTCATTTAATCTTACAATCTCGTTCCCCGAGCCTGCGATCCTCGGGAAGGAATCGAAGGCTCTGGGATAATCCGTTACCGGAAGCCAAGAATCCTGGCTAGGATTGAACTACGCATTCCATTTCAATGGCCAATCAGATTCCTCCCTGAAACGGATTATCCCAGAGCCTTCGATTCCTTCCCGAGGATCGCAGGCTCGGGGAACGAGATTG